CCTTATATTTATTTAATAAGTTATTATAAGTTATTTACCTTATCGTAACAGTTATTATCAGTACCGATCATTACACAAAAACTTTACGCTTACAAAACAGGTTTTAAAAAATGACTTTCCGAATAAACTGGAAAGCCTAGCATCACATAACGTCTAACCGACTTCACCCACAGTCAACAACGAACTGAGAGAGGCCGAAATATCAATCCGCCCGGAGTTGATAGGGTTGAAAGACCTGATGAGAACTGGTTCCAACCCTCGAACCCAGCATTACATTCACGGCCAGGGACGCAACTTTTATAACGATCGTTATTGCCAGTATAATTTCATTAAAAAGCCTGTTTGGTAATTTTTGTCAATATTTTAACATTAGAAATTGATTCAAACCAAATATTTAAAATTTATTGCCTTAATATTACTGAAAATATAAGCTTATGTATGCAACTTCTAAACTAGGGGACAGGGTTTTTGCAATAAATATACCCATTTTGGAACTTTTCAAACACACTTTTCTTTACTACATAGTATTAAAATCGGGAAACATAAACATTTTTATTCAAAGGAAGGTATAATAAATTATTTTAAAACTATTTGGAGCAGGAATAGATGGCGGAAGAGGTATAAATAGCTGGGGACAGCAATTGTCCTGTTTTCAAGCTTTTACTGTATAGTGAATGGTAGTAGACCTCAGGACACATGTGACCCGCATGTGACATGTAACATGTGACCTCAGTCTTTGGGCAAAACCCCTCAGATTTTGTGATAGTAACTAATTAAAAGCTATGATTAAAAAATTATATAACAAATATATAGTGTAACTATTACTTCTCTTAAATATAACAAGATGTATGTTTATCTTTGTGTTTGGAAAAACATTCATATTTTAAGACATTATCCAAACACATCTTAAGCAGTTCAAGATTGCAAACAAAATCTGTTACAAATAATTAAAAAAATATAAACAATGTAATTTTTCTACAGTTTGCACAAAACTCTATTAGTAAAATAATTCTCATAAACTTGACTATAAAAATTGGAGCCAAAGCTCAGGTCGATACAGCAATAATTATAAAATGTTACTTATTTATCAAATCAATGACACAATCTTAGAATAAACAAACCCCATGGATGTATAAAATATTAAATCAGCTGTGTGGTGTAGTGAAATGAAGTGAATTTGGCAGTTTTACTTGTCTACATTTAAAAATCAAAGCAAACGTAAACATTGTGAATTTTCTTAATGTTGCCATGGAGACTAATCAATGTTTAAAACTCTCACACCAGATTAAAAGCCCACAATGCAGAGACCTAGGTCGATATCAAAGCATGAATAGTTCTAAACAGATCCTTGCTACTGTTGCTATATTTATGTAAATTTTAAGCCCAGTTGGCTTAGTATTTTTTGCATTTACTTTGTACAAACAGACAGACAGACAGACACCACCTCTTCTTTATAACAATACTAGCTGCTATACCAGTGCTTTGCAACAGGGTGGGGACGTGGGACGGAAAAATGTTGTTCTTCAAATCCATCCTATGAGATAGTTAAACATACGTCATCGATTTTAGAAAATATATTTTTTTTATTCATTTAAGTGGTGATAATTTATCAGCCTATTCAGTAAAATATGAGTGGCGCTAAGAACGTATGAAACTGTGTAATTCAATCTTTAAAAATATACTTACCTAAAAGTAAAAGTGTATTCACTGGAAACCCCTATTTATATTTAAATAATGCTGCATCAGGGTAATGTCTTGAAGCAACAAATCAATCAGTTGACATTGATGTAACATGTTGGAGGAGTGGGATTCCCCCCCTAAGCAGGTGCCCACCTGGGGTAGTTCATCCTTATGTTTTCCTTCAGATTTGATCATCTAAAAATAAAACTATAACGTTAGCAGTTTGACAACTGAACTGTGACACACTCACTACGCTTTGTTAATGTCCTGGAGGGTGGACCCTTTTGGTGTTGGGCCTCTCATCATCTCCAACTCAGTCCTGAAACAGCTGCACACTTACTTGTTCCAGTGATGCACACTTTATTTCAACATTTACCTGATAGACAACATTTTCCAATATTTAAATTAAAATATACAAGCGAATAACGTCTACTATCATACTCAATTAGTATATCCATTCTTTGTTTGAAGTTCATTGTTGGTGATGGTGAGTTAATGTTGTTCAAAGGTTTATTGCGGACATTTTCCGTCACGAATGTAAAAAACAATAGACAACGTTTCGGGATCTGAAATCTGATCCCGTCTTCAGGTGAAAAAAACTTAACTAACACATTACAACTAACAATACACAAACGCCCAACCTAAGTTGGAATACACTACAGATGGTAGTAGTCAAAAGATATGCACTGTATAGCAGTCAAGTCATGATACAACATGCAATTGATAACAAATCACAAGATACTATAATCTATAAAAGGTTTAACGTTAAAAACTCACACAATGGAACACTAAGAGCACCGTACGCAACGACTCCACCAATGAGACTGAACCAACATGGCTGACCAATCGGAAACACGGAGACAACAGAAATGGCTTCCAGTCCTTGGAAAAGTAAAACCAACAAATTGGCGGAGCGATGTACGATGCCGCAAGATGGGTGTTAATTATGTTTATTCCTATCACGAGTCTTACTACGAGTTAACATAACATGCGAATTTTGAGGAGAACTCGTTATTTCCCTATTTATTGAAAAATTAAGTTCCCTATCCTTTAGTTCCTTGTTCAAAATGGGTAGCCAAAGTGGCCTTATTTCAACCGATGACTGACTGATTGGTTGATCTGCTAATTTAATGTATGAGGCTTCAATGAGTTTACGTTTGAAAAAATGAGGTTCCTTATGGACAATCTTTCCATCCTGAACGGGTCCTGAAGACGGGATCAGATTCCAGATCCCGAAACGTTGTGTATTGTTTTTTACATTCGTGATGGAAAATGTCCGCAATAAACCTTTGAACAACATAGTATATCCAGTAAGGAATATTTACTCAATTTACTATTGCTTATATTTTGCCCCCACTGGTGGGTTGCGGGAGCAATTTTGGTGGGTCAAGAGAAGAGAAAATCTTTCATGGAATCCCATGTTGACCATGTGGTCAGCAAAATCACATCTGGAATTTATGCAATTTGTAGAATGTCTAAATTTTGCTCAACAGATATTTTGAAAAAGCTTTATTTTGCTTTCATTGAATCCGCAATATCATTTGGCTTTAGTGTTACATCAAAGAACATCAAAGAAAAATTTAGATAGAATTTTAATTTTACAGAAAGTAGCAATAAGAATAATGTTAAATTTAAACTGGTATGTTTCCGTACGTAATAATTTCTTAGCCATGGGTATAATGACTGTGTTCGGCATTTATGTTTTCCATACCGTTCTTTTAACTAAAAATCTTTTGTGTAAAAGAACGTTACCTAAGCTAGGTGATAAATATGGCACCTGGTATAGAAACAAAATTGCTGTTGGTGCCCATAGATTGGAATTTTATAACAAAAAACCGTCATGTGCTGGAAGAATTTTTTTGGAAGGGCTTCCAGAGTGGTTAAGGAAAATTTATGATGGTGAAAAATTTAAACCCCAGCTTAAAATATACTTGTATAATTTTGATGAACTTTACAGCTGATATTATGTTGTAAGTTTAAGTAGTTTTAAGAATTTTGACGCCATTCAATGTACATACTTGTATGATTGATGAATAATGTTATTTTCTATTCAATTCAATTCAATACTGTCTTTCAATGAATAACTGATGAAGCCTATTGTAATAATGTATTACTTAATGGTGAATAAACTTCTTGTTTCTTGGGCTGCTTCATATTTCATCCTTGAAATATGATCACCTTTAGAGTTTTTATAATTCTGGTGAATAACATAAATAAAATTATAAAACAGTTGGATGTAGTTTCTGAATAAATTAATTTTTGTTGATGGCAAATTCATTAATTTTTTCCAGGGATTATTGCAGAAGTTTTCCATCACAATTAAAAAAACAAGTTTTTACAACCTTTCACGATCTGGAATCTGATCCTGCCTTCCATGAGGAAGTATCTAAAGCTTAAAGTTTAGCATACACACCCAAGTAGAGCTGGAAAGTCGCAAAATAAAAACCACCCAAAACTGTATATTAGTCAAAATAAGATACTGCTGAAAGACACATAGAGAGAAGGTAAATCACAATAGACACGTCTGCACAGGATGGTGGCTCAAATGAGATCTGGCAAGTCAGTTCAAACTGACTGAGGACTGGATCAGATTCCAGATCTTGAAAGGTCGTAAAAACCTTTTTTTCTTAAACCTGATTAAAATGTTTCAAAATAATCCCTCAAATAATATTAACGTCACCATTATCTCTTTTTCCACACATACTTTATCAAACCCATCTCCATTCACTGCCTCCTCTGAACTATGCGTTTTCTCTCAACTTCTTTTATTGTACAACATGGAAGCGAGTGAATGTAGTAGGTTGGGTAATAATAGCTATTAATGGTTAATGAGCTAAAATATAGGTGTGTGGATATTGAATTCAGCATCATTATTATTTTTTAATGTTTAACTTAATTACGGTACGATTGAACGATTTGTGTGTGTATATTTTGGGCCATTAAAACAGTTTAATTATGTTTTTTTGTTGTCGTTTATGCAAAGGTATTTTATTAAGTAATTTCAGAATAATCCAATATATCAGAAGTAAATGAAAATATCACATAGGTATCTGATTGAATTGTGTTGTTGTCTTTGGTTATCATGGGAGAGTTGGAATATTATTTAAGTTCAAAGTAGCATATAGTTAAATGAATGTTAAGTATTATAGTGTTTATCTCAATTAAACAAAAAAATATGGTATTTTTATCCAATAATTTTGATTGTAGGTTTCAAAGGTCCCTGGCCTGGATCAATGAATTTTCTCTAAGAATCTAAAATATTTATTAAAATTACATGTCAGGCATCAATATTGAAAGCATTAATTTTGACTGCACTGCAGGTTTGCCAGAGCCCCCAGTAGACATCCAAGTAGAGCCTGGACCTCAAGATGGCACTCTGTTGGTGACTTGGCAGCCGGCTACCCCCACCACCTCTGCCTGTAATACTCTGGTCACAGGATATGCGGTGTACGCTGATGGCAAGAAGGTCACCGATGTGGACAGCCCCACAGGTAGATGGCCGCATAAGTTGAATGGAAACCTAAAAAATTTTATTACAGTAGATTATCTATTATCCAACCTAAACTGATCGTGCCTAAGTGAAAATATTAGGTAGCAAAAGAAAATAATAAAAACCATTCCAACTGGCTGTCTACAGCTGGCAGAAAAATCACAGGAAAAGTTTCAGATATTCCATATCCAGGAAAAAGATTCCTATATTCAGAAAAAGGCCAAATATCCCTATATAAATTGAAAACCCACAAAATTTTATAACGTGACTCTGAATTTTATAACTTATTCTGAATATTTTCGTTTTTACTTAGGGAACTGTCTCAAGCTCAAGCTACCACTAGACCAGCTGTGACAGGTGGCCGAATTTTTAACAGTACATTAATAAAATACTTATAAGATATACAGAAAGAACATTAATTATATAAAAAAAAACGCCTGTCAGTGTCCGGAGCTCCATTTTAAAAGTGTCCTACCACTTGCTCACTGCGCGCACTGCACTAGTAAAACTCACGTTAGAGTTAAGAGGCGTCCAATTCACTGCCTCAAAAAAAAACCCTCTCACACTTGTGAGTCCAAGAAATATATAGGCTAGCCTACCTTCATTATATTACCGGTTATACCGGCTGATGTCTCTGGGGCTGCAGTCCCCTCCTTCACTAATATATTTGAGTCCAGTTGCCACTCGTTGCCAGTCTCAGTCGTATTACATAAAGTTGCTGAAGCTGAGCTCCTCACACGGTGTTGGCATCACCGCAGACGCCAAGTCCATGACAGGTGATCCCCCTCCAATTCTGGATACCGGCAGCTTCCAACCTTACACAAGAGAGACAATCATTAGCAACATTACAAAATGGCACTTCTCTGTACATTAGGCCTACCAGTTGGACCTTGAAGTATTAAACTTCAAGTGCCAAGCGGTAATTATTTTGGCTACTTCTCAAGGACAACCTTTAAACATTTCATCACAAATACAAACGTCATGGCCATGACCAGGGAGGCTCTTAGCTCCACCCTCCTCTAAAGCTCAAGCGCAGCTGGTAGCGGCTAACAGGTTATGTCAGGCAAGCGTACGCAGGCGCGAGCAACAGTCAAAATGAATTTGACACCAGGGAAGGCTCTCCTTCCCTCTCCCCTTCCCGGCTCAAGTGCAGCTGGAAGTTGCCAACGGGTTTCGTTGGGCAGACATACGCAGGCACGAGCAAAAATATGCACTCTATCTCTCGCATGTCATTGGGAGGGACTTATGACAGAAAAATTTTTTAAAACAAAAAAAAAATGAAATAACCAGGACTATTTGAGTCCTACACGAGCTTATTGCTGCCGAATGAGCGGCAGGCTAAAACTCATCAGTTCACATAATGCAGAGTCCTCGCTGGAGCTCAGGCCTATCATGTGACTTCAACTTCACGAACAGTCCCCCACCGAAAAGAAAAAAACAACACGGCTAGCGCTTACAACAGAAGGCTGATGATTAATCAAACAGGCATTCTGTAACCATCAGCAACCAAATTGTTAATGGTTCTGATGAAAGATCTCAAACTAAAAAAACAAACAGCGCTTCAACAACATCCGGACCTAGTCCAAAGGAGATTCACCATGTTGCCGTGTGTATTATAATACTGTACGGACAAGCAAGGCAATCTCAATCACGGCCAGCCACCTTAGGGCTCAGACCAAACTACAACCATGCACAATCAAAGGAAGCCCATAACTAAATGGGGGGTGCCTACAATGTACAAATTAACTATATCTTCTTAATTCTTATCATTTTTTTTTACTTTTTTCCAGAGGAGTCTAAATTTCCATTTAATTAATTTGATTAGGCCTACAAAAAAAATAAAAGAATTTAAAAACAAGGCTAAAGCGAGTATACTTTACCCCAACTTAGCTCAGGCCCAGTGATTTGTAATCACTTACTATTATTATACTTATACAACTACTCAAACCAATTCCACCCGCAGGGACAATGTTGAGCTACTGCTCCAACAGCTGGTCCACCGCAAGGAGACTCTATGCCTCGATCGACGGAGACAGCAAGAGACTGGCTCACACTCCTATACAAAACTGTAGGCTGTATAACAAACAAAAAAAAAGGGTTATCCTATGCACATCAACATATATTGGTAGGCTACTAATTCACCTCCAGCATTGAATTTTTATAAAAAACATTTCCCTCCTACTATCATCAGCATTGCTTGATTTATTTTCCCTTAACAAGAAACAAAGACAACGGTATTTGTATTCTCCTAACTATACACCAGAGAATCCTCTGGCGAGGGGTTAGCCACGGCTTAATCACAAATGTTACCGGATTTATTTAGGTTAAGGTCCTGTCCAAAGCAGGAGCAAAAGAAGATACACTCCAAATCTTCCCCCATACCGAACACACATTGTGAGAAAATTGTGACATTTCCCTCGGCTCATTAGAAACTCATCATATCGGAAACTAACATGGATAAATGCAATTCATCTCAAAAACAATTTTTTAAAGTTAAAATTTTTTTATAAATAGGCCTAGAGTATGATTTATTCCTATGTTCAGCTGTTCATAACTTCATAAAGTTATATTTTTTACTTAAGAGTTGAAACTATCAAATTATTGATTAGCATCACATAAGACAACACTCAGGGTTTTAAACTGACTTCAGTCATTCACTAACGCTAGCTGATGATAGCAGTTAAACAACAGTTCTTCAATTTTTTGTTTTATATATGAATCCGATAATAAATTAATCCCAGTGTAAATAAATAAAGATTATTATATTTATTTCAGTGTACAGAAAAGAATGGCAACTAAACACAAACATCTCTAATTACTCAGTATACTCACTCAGACTTGGACCAAGCGTTTGACGAATGATCAAAACCTCCTACAATGCTTAAAAAAAAACTCAAAAATTAATCCCTTTCCCAGATACAAAAAAAAAACATTTAAACTCCTCTTTTTAGTCTTTCCACATTGCACACCTACCTTGTGTACACACCTACGTCTCATCAGAGGGTCTGCGAACCCCTAACAGGTCCAACAGAGCACCTGCTAAATCACGTAATATCTTAACAAATCGCGGCTAGGTTCGTTGGCCCACGCCGCGGCCTTTACACGCTAACCCAAGTTTCCAGCAAAGCCCCAAAGGGTTGCTTCCATTTTTTTAATGTTTTTCGTTTTTACTTTTTTTACTTGTTACTCATTGGTTGTCCACTTTTCATAATATACACAAGTTTTAGAGACCAAATCATGTTACGAATCATACAAACTCAAATTATTTCTCGCTGCGTTCCACAAAACTTGTTAAGTCTGGTAAAATTTGGAATTTATTCAGCTACCGTACCTAAAATAAACCATCTTCTAGATATCCTGACTTTAAAAGTCATCTATTTATAAACGTGCACAGTCATCACAGAAAAAACAAATTTTTTCCTACTTAGGCCTACTTTATTTTCCATACCCGAGTGAAATGGCAAGGCATCAATACAGAGGCAAGCAACATCCCGGATGGCTCTGAGGTGAGAAGGCAAGTCTTTAGAGAACAAAATTATGTCAAAAGAGACAAGGCATTTCCCAACCTTCAAGCCCGTCAGTAGGCCAGTAATGCTGACATCATTTAAACTAATAATTTTGTAATCAATTCCCATGGACTACACTGCTAATCATTCAAAGACAACAGTAATTATATTCTGTTTCATAATTCTATTTATTGACCACTTCAAAGGACATTTAACAGTCACTGGCGTTTACTGAACGACCCAATGAGCTGTCCCGAATAACAAATGTTACCTTAAACAGATTAAAATGAACAAGCTAACCACATAGAATCTGAACATGTCCTGCCACAGTAGGCTAGGCCTACATGACGGCCATCATTGGAACGCAGCTAAAATAAATTTAGTTTTACGAGTAACCATACACTTTGAAAGTTCTTTAAGTAAGCTTCAAAATTACATATTCCACGATAATTAGTTAAAATGTTCCTCACTTTCCTTTACTCTTACCTTAGGCTATATTTCAAAATTCATTTGTTATAATTTTTGCTGCAGGCATTAATCAAAATAATTTAAGTTCACGGTCGGTCACTATAATAGAAAACAAACATTACCTCAAGTCCAGATTACCTAATGCCTTATCTTCTCTGAACACTTAATTGAAATATTCATAGCCTAAATTTATATGAGTGACCAAAACTTAACTTAGTTTATCTCCAATTAATTTTTCCAATTAAATCTAATTATTCCGCCTTCCCCCAATAAGTTAAACTTCACCAAGGCACGGCCTAAACTTTATAGGAATAAGCTACTAGGTTAAACAACCATCAAAACAAGTTAGCCTAGTCAACTGTTAACTTAAGCTTAGACAGTAATCAGATGAATAACGTTAGGCCTATCCTACTTAAGCCAACAACTTCAATTATTTCACCCTTAGATTACACAAAAATTTAACTATTAAAACTTTAGCCTTGGTAAGCTTTCCAATTAAATATTTTTGAAAACCAAATAAAAATATTTAAGCCAGTTACTTAATTTATAAACTCACCTGACCTTTTACGCACATCTAACCTTAGTTTCCACAACAGAGCAGACGCCAGAAGCTGAAGTCGAAGTCCCTGAAGTTCAAAGTTTTAAACTGCAGACGACGACGACTCATTGCAGTCGCAGTGGGAGCGAAACGAATTAAAACACGTAAAACGACGGGAGCAGAACTGAAACGGACTGAGCGAGTCGCGACAGGGAATTACAACGAAATTATGATTTCTGACTGTGTGATAATTAAATAGCCAATTAATTTAGGACTCTTGAACCTAACCCCGCACTGACACCAAATGTGACAGGTGGCCGAATGAAACAACGAAAATGCGCTACGAATAAATAATTTATTAAACTCAACTTATGACAAAACAATAATAATGTATTTTGCTGTATGGAATCTATTTATGTTTAGTTTACAAATATAACTAGAATAAGTTACTGGGGAACATAGCCTCCCGAGGAGGCTATGGGGAAAGGCGACGCAACTTACATGACCGATTGAATTGAATTTAGAATTTAGACTGACTCAACTGAGTGCGCTCTGCCCATAGCCCAGAGTTGGGCGTGGAGGGGAACCAGCCAATCACGTTGCGGCTATGCCGCGTGACGTCAGTGCAAGCCCTGGGCGGTGTTGCTGCCTAACGATTCATCAGGGCATTAGGCAAACTATAGCTGCGCATTAACTGATTTCATCGAGCGACTTGCTGAGCTGTATCAGCAAATTCCAGCCATGCGCGTTACACTTTCCGAGAACTTTGGCCTGTCCGCTGAGCCATGCTGACGGAATATTCCATGGTGAGGCAACTGGTTGACGCAAAAAGCTGGGAGGTTAACAGTCCAATATTTCATACCCTCTTTTTTTATATTTGAAATAAAGCAAAGCTTCTGTGACGGTAAAGACAGGGTTTCCTGAGGGTGTAACAAAAACCTCCCCAACTGATGTGTAATGGGTCTGGGAATTTTTGGGGCCGTCACACAGCTCCCTTCCTGTGTGCGTCTTGTAGTAAAGTGTAAATACTTCAACATACTTTAACGTGATATGAGTAAATGTCATCAAATTTGCTGCTGTAGCTTAAATGTTGTATAATTTGCTTTTATTTTATTCATTGAGTACCTCTGAGTATTGATTGTTTAAGTCCTCAAAAATAAAAATAAAAACTAAAAATAGGATCCAACCTAATCAATGAGAGTATAAAATACATTGAACGTTGTTATATGTGTTATTGTTTAATTTTAGGAGATCATGCCCTAATTGATATCAACAAGTTATTGAGTCTGAATCCAAAACAAGTAACGGTTCGCACAAAGTCAAGAGATAATCAATCATCAGATAGTCTGCCAACTCCGATTCCTCCGAACATGCTCAAGGGAAAGCAGCATTCCAACAAGGTAAGCTTTACTCCTGTTCCCGTGGATTTGACCTTAGAGTATTTACGATTCTTATTCCTACAACTAATTCCCATATTTTTAGTTCTACTTCATACCTCAAGAGTGGATCATTTACATGGGTTTTTAAAGAGTAATTCACAAAATCAACAAAGTTACAGATGGAAGCCTGAGGATGGTGACATTGGATTATTTACCTTATACATTTTGGTCGGTGTTTTATTATTTCGTCCTGACTTTGTATTAACATCATTTCAGGTGGAGGAGCAAATAGAGTTATCATTGGGGAAAATTTCTTCTTGGTTTGCTGATAACCCTTTAGTATCGAATGTGAAAAAGACAAACATTATGAAATTTCAGCAGAGACCTCCTAATAGCAAAGACAATTTGACAGTGAGTGTTGAAATATGATTTGTGCAACAAAATTTTTAGGTTTGCATGTGATTGGCAATATTACGTTGGCATATTGGAAGTTACGTAGTTGACGAGCAGCTATGCTTGGCCGGCAGCATTGATAGTGAGTTAGTCACCGATACGTTCTGTAAACTTTCGATGTCAATGCATGTGAACATAACAGGAACTTGCTCCAACTACCATACACTGTGAGAGACTATATTTCTTATTTTCTTACCAGATCTAAAAAATTAAAAAGTCTTTGTCATCAATATACTTGATATTTCAAATTATTTAAATGTGTAGAAACTTCATTAGTCATGCTGCTACACTAATAAGAGTATTTTTTTACGATTTCTCGTCTATTTGTGTGTAACCTGTGGTACACTTCTAATCGTTTCATTTTTATGTTTTACTTACATTTGCATGAGTTTCCTTGTCACTTTTATAACCTTACATTGAACCTTTTTTCATTTACTTCACTGTATATTTTTATTGTATTGATTTTCCTAATACGCAATAGAGGAGTTGGTTTGAGATATACTTGGCTTTAATAATCTCAAATATTTATTAAATGTCAAGAAGTATTTTAAAAGGACCTTAATACCTTTATTTTGTTTCTTGATAGTCATTAGCTTATTGTTTATCATTTATCATCTTTTCTTGGATTTATTTTACTTTCCATCTCTTGCACATAACAAGAATATTTGTTCTTGAAGTACACTTGCTCTGGAAATGTTATTTTAACGTTATAAAACTAAGGAAATATTATTCAGTAAAATTCTCCGATAGTGATAATAAATCACTTAGGTAGGTTTATAATAAAATGTGGTATGTAGTACTAGTAAAAAATTTCATCTTAAGAGTTAGTAACTTGAAAAAGAAAAATATACTTCTAGGTTCTCTGAAATATGGATTCTATATTTTGTATTATGACTCTAATTACAACACTTTGATCACATTTGTGTTACATTGATTTTATTGAGATAACATTTTTTGACTATTGTGGCTTGAAACACTTAATACCAAAGTAGGTATTAAGTGTTCGTTGTCATTTATGAATCTGATTCCTAGTAACCTGACTATTATTTTAAACACAAGGAATGGGATTGTTATTCTCATAGTCTTAATATATATTACAGTTATTTAAAAGTTTTATGGGTCGTAAAGTTTGACACACATTGGGCTTTGACAAAGTGCAGATCCAGCAAGCATATTACTGTTTGGACTAGTTTCATACAAAAATTCAGATAATTTTTCTTCATTTACAAAGCAGATATTTTATTCTTAACTTGAAGTCAATCTGAGGTAAATTAGTGGTTTGTAGATAGCCTTTATACCTTGGAATATGGAAATATCCAAAAATCTTTGACAATTTTGAAAGAGTATAGTTCCAAGTAAGATCGATAGAATGTCATTGACAACAAAACAATGACTTGAAGATCATTTAGTAGCATGTTTAGGCTGTAATATTTCTATTTTTCTGCTGAATTGTTTACAATGTTATTCAAAACCACCAAATAGACATAAAATACACCTTTATAAAACATTAATATATATATTATATTACCCTTAATGCAGAGTTTCAGAGGCTTTTTATTGAGTGGGGATGCCATGTGCAAATTATATTTTTTAGTAACTTAGGAAACTCATATTTCCAATACTGTTGTTCATCACTTATTAGGCCTATATTGGCGGAACCGAGCTGGTTAAGCACTCGGTGCAACATCCACAAACCTCTAGTTGCTTGATGGGGGGTTTGTTATCTTCTACAATAGGGTTAAAGACCACAATACATTTAATCAAAGGATTGAACAGAGATATTTCTGTGCAACTGTACATCTTTAGAAAGTAAACATGTGTTATATAGTGTGAGCAAATATTTTAAATACATTTCTGAGTAATGTTTCTACTTAACACTGGATATTAGATCTCCTCCATCTGTAGGGTCCTTGATTCTGAATATGTTAAAACTATCTTTGGCCAAACCCTCTGTAGATAATGTGATATTATTCTTAAGTGAGAACATTTGCAGTAAAAATTGATATTGTGAATATAGAAACCATTATTATAGATATGTAGATAAATTTGTTTAGATAGTGACACAGTGTTCTTAAAGTATATAGTATATAGTGGATTACTGTTGTAAGTTAATCATTAGTGATGTATTTGTAATTTAGCTTTGTTATGTGTTCTCAATACCAACGGAGGTACCACACCGAGTGCAGTTTTGCTTGTTGTGACACACTTCGCTTGCATTGCAAATTTGGCTTGGCTTTCGGGATTCACCTCATCTTCTCAGAGATTATTCAACTTGTTTATCTGTTTCTTAAGTATCTTTGAGCAACAATGAGTTTAAATGTATCTATCACCTTTTGTTATGCTGTCTTTTAATTTTGGTTACATTTTAGTGAATTCCCCTATAAGGATGAATCCACCCAACAAAAAAATAAACGGTATCCGTAAACTAACACATACTTTCTCCCATAACCTTGTAAACAACCTTTATCATGGGTAATATAAGAGGTGGGTGTAACTATGATATTCTATAGGGATAAATCACAAAATTTGCAATAGCTTTTGAGCCGTAATTGTTACAGCAATATGGGGGGTGCACCATTTTTGTTTAGAATTATAAGGACCATAACACATTAATTTTAATCATAACCGGCTTTTTTTCCTAAAATCCGATATTTTGTTATTTTATGGGGTTTTTATGGGAAATAACATAAATTACAATAACTTTTGAACCATACTTTTTACGGAAATGGAATCTGTACCATTTTGTTCAAAATTTTAAGGACCATTACATACTAATTTTAATCAAAACCAGCCTTTTTTCTAAAATCCAATTTTTGTTGTTGTAAAATAACATTAGTTACAATAACTTTGGAACCGTATTATTTACGGAAATGGGATTTGTACCATTTTGTTCAGAATTAAAAGGACTATAACATGCTAATTTTTTTTTCAAAATCGTTCAGGCCGTTTTCGAGCAAATCAGATTTTTCCGATATTTTATGGGTTTTTATAGGAAAATCGCCATTAAAAATAAAATTTGGAAAAAAATTTAAAAAACGCCTGGAGATATAATAGAATAGTACCTACGTACCAAACTTCATCAAAATCGGATGACAGGTGTGGTCTGTAGCTCTGTACATATCCACACACACAGACATAACTTTGAAAACCACTTCTTTGGGTTCAGGGGGACCCAAAATGGATATATCCACTCAAAACTCATACTCTAAAATTTTGAGGATACCAATAGGCCTACTTTCTCCATATACTATGTATAGGGGGAAAAGGTGACCCAAAACGGATATATACTCTCAAAACTCGAACTAGAACATTTTGACGAAAACAATACTTTCTCCATATACTATGTATTGGGGGAGAAAGTATTATAAGTAACTTCTATTAACTTAGCAAATCACTTCTGGATTTGGAAATGTGATTTTTTGTGGTAACCTTCTAATATTTTACTTAGTGTTTCAACTACTCCATAAACGTACCACCAAACACTCAGTTTAGAAATTTAATTGTAATATATTGTTGGTTAAACCTATTATCATAAATAATTGAACTCATAATATCATACAAAAACAAAATATAAGCTATTACTAAAAGTTTATGTTCATACAGGGTGGCTTCAGTCTGAAGGTTCGAGGAAAACTGGGAATTATGCCTGAATTTTGTAATTTCCCTGAGAACACCTAAATTTAGAACAAATTTGTTGTAATATGGATTTAGAACAAAATTAGAAGGGTTCAACACCCAGCAACGTAATTTTGCATAAAAGCCTTTGAGTAAACACCCTTGACACTGTTAGCGCAAGAAAAATCCCACCATCAAAACATTGTGAATTGGGACATCTTCCGCAGTCAGGGCAAAAGCGAGAACATCATCATCTGTCTCTAGTAGTTGCTGCTCAAGCAGATATCATTAGAGCCTTTTGATGGGCTGTTTTACGCTGTACTGGGTGTGGCCACGATTGGCGCACATTGACCAGTGGTTGTATTGACACAATGACAGTTCAACAAGTACCACGGATGGTACACGGTTGTATTAGCATAGTTTGTATATCATACTTTGTTACTTAAACTGTACATTAGTTTAGTTTTATATGTATATTTAGGTAATCATATAAACACAATTTTGTTTTTTGGGCAGTCTGTGGTAGTTTTAGTACACATATGTACTTTTGAATTAAGTTAAATTCATGGGTCACCGGTGGCGCTTTTTGGAGCAAATATGCAGTAAATAGAAAAATGATTGTAAAATAAATCAAAATTCATGTTCTTGGTCCATGGACTGTTTTTCAAGACAAAAAAATAGGTTTTACATACCTTTTAGCAAAGCCTGCAACTTTTTCTTTATTATGTTCTTTATTTCATAAAATGTACAGATTAGTACATGAAATTGTGTCAACATAAGATTTCTTATCTAGATTGCTATAACTAGTGATTTTAGAGTAGTCCAAAACAGAAAATATATAAACATTATTGGCCTTCAAATTGATTTTCCTTTCTCTAAATAATAAGCCCAGCTCATTAACACATCAAATGCAAATTAAAGTAACAGAAAACAAACATAGAACAATCAATGAAAAACACATCTTTTATAGGGTTGGTTTATAAACATCAAAATTTAAAGAGATGAATGACTAAACAGGTGATAACTTTTTTTGTTTGCTTGACCTGACTCAGTAAATTAACAATTTGCCTATTACCTAAAAATTTTGTTTTTTTTTAGTCTGTAGTCTGTACTAATATATTTAAGTTTCAATAGTTTAACAATTTGATCGTGTTTATGTGAAAATGAAAAGTGATGTGATTAAGTTTATCTCTGTAAAATATATTATAATTGTGGATTTAAAACTGTAATCATTCAAAGATATTTAATGTACAATGATTTTCAGGAGGAAGAGCGACGCAGATATGGATCATCGGTTCCACCCCACATGCGTCATCATCAACATCATCGTGGAGGTCAAGTCATCATAGAGACGGAAGAAAACCTGAGTGACAAAGAAGTCTACCCATCTAACCACATGAGTATTCCGGCCATAGGTATTCCATACCTCAACTTGCTATCAACACATTTTATATCAAATCACTTCTAGGTGTATGTGTTAGAACATTTGCTATTAACATGAGAAACAATACTTATGCAATACTTTTATTTAGTAGAAGAGGCAGGGGGTTTTTGCCCAGTTGGTGTGTCAAAATACTCAAAATCATAATTTTATCGAATTTCTCATTTGGGGAATAAGCTATACTCAATTCCACGTCCACCATGCCGTACAGGTCTTATGGAAGATAGCCTTGCTACTACCATTACTGTAAACTTCGGGGCGGCTCACGGACTATCGTAGTCCGAGCCCAGAATCCGGAAATAACCGGTATTTGGGCCGCAACTTAAAAAATCGGGTTCACGAGCTCGAGACTTTATAAGCTGCGGACCAAACTGATAGGCTGCACACAACTAGTGCAGGGATAAAACCTGGTTTTAAAAGTTGGGTTCACGAGTCTAGTCCGAGCCCAAATGAGATGGTTCGGGCCCAAAAGAACAATGGTGTTTGGTCTCCAACTCAGACCTGGTAGGAGGAAGGTTTAAGGTGACATCATGCCGGTTTTATCTAATTATCTCCTTTATTTTTATAATTTTTTAAAAACTAATGTTTGAATATGGTTCCTCATTAAATTCCGAACAATTTCATTACCCACAACCATATTAAAAAAATATGTAAAAATGGTAAAAAGGTGCATAAAACATGCAAAAAATCATCAAACAACTTAAAACGACAAATAAATTATGCTTGTAACAAAGTAGTATCGTAACAAAGATATTTTTACTGATAAACCCCATTTTATTACAGTTTTAACAATAAAATTATGCGTAAATATAAATTTAACTTTCAAACACAGTTAAACCACTGTCATCTAACATAATTATCAGAAATACTGTAGTTTAAAGTGTCGTGGGAAACATCAAGCTAACCATACGGTTCGCGTTTATGTCACCGTCGTGTGTTGTACTCACTGGTCGCTGTATGTATTGAATATGACTATGAAATATCTTTATGTTGACTACTATGTACTACCACTCCACTACCTTGCATACGACCAGCTCGTCATCATGACTAAAACGTTTTTATGACTTGATGAATTGAAAGATGGATTTAGAAGTTCCAAAGATGCCGTGAATGAGTCATTCGAGGCGTTCACTCCAAGGCACGGATTTCCCGACAACAGAATCCATTAGAGTATTCTAAATTGGAAAAAAATGTAAGTTGCATTTATGGCTGATGGCACTTTTCATAGAGAAACTGGTGATTTATTGGATTGGATGTTGGTAAAGCTTGGATGGTAGCTATTTGTTTGGTAATGAAAGCAGAATAATTCAAACTTTCAGTTCCAAACTATGCCAAAAGAATAAAAAAAAACAATGTTTTCCTAAATTTGAACGCATTTTAATACCAATGATACTGATTTTTAAAATCGCAACAACACAAAATGTAATTAAAAAACCAGAGCTGTTTACATAAATAATATTACGAGCGAACTACAGAATATTATTTCAACATTTTACAGCTAGATAATTAAAGAGTGTAAGAATAATGGAAAGATTATTCTTAGATTACAACCATGATAAGGACCACCTCACACGTACGATTTTTATATCTAAATAGTCAGTACCTCCAAATTCCTTTTTCGTTTCAATAATTGTACCATTTAAATAAGTTAAGTTAAAATCAGCCTATCAAAATATCACCATCCTAAATTATCGGGCACTTATGCCAAATAGGCATTGATCCGGTTATGAATAACCGGTTATTTTATGTCATGCATCTTAATTGAATTACAATAATGCACACAAAAAAATGTATTTCACTAAAGACTCCCATTATCTGATTCCATACAAACGTAGCTTGTGTTTATAAATCAATAAACTTTGATAGATTTTTATAGGCGACCATTGAGACAATAAAATACACAAAAAATATTGGGTGTATATTGGGTGTTGTGTGTATATTGGGTGTTGGGTTAAATGTATTGGGTGTGCGTATTGTTTTGGGTGTTTTTGTTCAGCCTTTTTTCACTATCACCCTATTGTATGGAAGTGCCTATGTCAGCAACAGTGGCTTCACGTGTGTTTCCAGGTTGTTACCAACGTCTCAACAAAAATTCCCTGCGAATCCCTGTCATTAGGCTCTGCTTCGGATTTGGTCTCGACCTACAATAGACCCGGCTTTCACACCATTAGGCTCTGACTCGTGAACCAGTTTTTTGGTTGTCGCTTATATAGTCCGGGACCAACCTCTGGTCGCGGACTATGAAGTCCCTAGCTTGTGAACCGCCCCTTCATGTTTTCTGTCATGCGGGATGTGTCAACAGTCCTCGGGACGCTCGTGAAGGCACTTAAGTTCATTTTTCTAATATCTGTGATGTTATGGTATTCATCAAGATTGGTAATTTGACTTAGAATATTAAAAATTATATGATTTTCCTATAAAAATAGCCTAAAGGCTTATTTCAGTTGAATGTTTAACCACAATCAGTATAGTGCATTGAATTTAAGTTTTGCAACTTAAACACAGTGTTGTTTATAATGTACAATTTGCACATGGGCTGTGAATTAATTGGAATAAGTTACCGATTTAATTAATGAGGTATTTAAAATAATAAAGTTTTTGGGTTAAATTAGTAGTATGGTAAATTCAACGACTAACTATTTTCTTTCAATAATTAGTCCCCGTCCAAAAAATAAACAAAATTTTATATGATTCAAAAATATAGAATAATGTGATTGACAGTTTATTACAATGTCTTGTTTTAAAATCGATTGATATGTCATTGTGCAATGCATCAGTTAACAGACTATGTACATCCGTTGATGATTCCAGTGACAATTACTTTTTATGACCAATAAAATGTTTGCCCTATATTAATAATCAAGGATTTTTCTTTAAAACCTTCTTTCTCGGCTCTTGTGAATCACAGGGAAAATCTACGCAAACTGTTGGGAAGATATTTTCCTGTAGATGTGCAGAATCCCTTCATAAATTAAAATAAGCTCAAAAATATGCACAATAAATGAACTTAAATTTAAAAAAAAATTACATGGACCTTATCGGTTGCCAGCATGTTAACAAAATAACAATGCAATATAAACAGAAAATCTAAACAAATGGAAGAAATTCCAATCACATGTTTTTGTACAGCATAGGGTGAAAATAGAGAAATCTGTACATTACATATTTTGGGCAAGTTTTCGACCACTGGACAACCTCTAGTATCAATAAAATAATATATCTGCTACATTTTGTATATTTAAAGCTGTATAAAATCAGTTTGGTGGAAGAAGTGTGTCTATTTAGATGTGTAGTTCCATTGCAATGAATCACAGAAGGCAATCAAGGTGAGTTAATTTGACCAAAAAAGGATAATAAATCTAATCAGCAAAATAAATATAAGTAGGCCTACTGTATTGCATAAAAATAATTAAAATATGTGGTAGTTTGAGTTTTGTTTCTAAAATATTTTCTAACATGTTTATTATTAGTGTATAAATTATTATTGTCATTTTTTTAGTTATAACAAAATGGTTCTTAAATGTCATTCTTATAATATTTTTAGTTAAATGAGTAGGTACGTATTTATTTAAGTGATAATTAACTCAATTCTAAAAAAAACCTTAAGGAACGAAATTAAAAGGGTTTAAGCAGTGGTATGAAGTAGCGCAGTAGCGGTTCACGGGTGTTGATGTTTTTAGGACGGCTAGTAGCGTGGAAACTCCCACTTGAAATACATGGCATACGGGCGCTCCGTACTGCACGGTGAACGTGGAATTGAGTATATTACCATAGGTCTCATGGTATAACCAAATATGACCTATATGACCTATATATATGGTATATGACCTATACCAGAGACAACTTTACTTATTTGTTTTGAAATCCCCAGAGGCGAAATAACACCATCCATTCAAATTCATATGGGTTTTTTCGCTATCAGAAAACATAAAAAAATTATTCAATTTTTAAATTAAATTTTGTACAAACGTGTAAACCTATGTTTTTTTCTAATGAGTTTGCAAACTAGCATAATGGAACTATGGGAAAGGGGGTTTAAAATTTGTTTTTCTCACTTTTGACCAACAAAAAATGGAAGTTTGCAATTTCACTCTAAACCATTTTGCAGAGCTTTAAAAAAAATTATGAAGTATATATTGAAGTGCTTATTGATTACAGAGAAAATTAATAAAAACTTTAAATTCAATACTCTTGTGTTATTTTTATGGAGAATAAATAAACTGTTGTAGTTTGCTTGTTTATTGATATAGTTTTATGAAATTTAGGATCTATTTTATTTCACACTAAGGTAGGCCTATTAACTTTTCCCTAAAGAACACACTGTATTACCTTCATTGTAGCAGCAAACATAAGTACTTGTTAAAACTAATGTTATTTAAATATAAATGGGTCATGAATCTGTAATCGACAATAGTATATTTCATTACTAGTACCGAAAGTGGCATTTTCCGGCGCGCGCTCAATTTTCATGTGTGTGACAAAGCCAAACACAGGAAAAATTTCACGTGAGAGGAGAAGCCGAGCATGTGAGAGTCGTTTTCACGTACGAGGCGAAGCCGAGGACGGGAATAATGGAGCAAGTGTCGGAACATAGCTTTCGGTACGAGTTTTGAATGATACTTTTCATCATGACGCAATTACTTTAACCCTCCGAGTGTCATGCGTCGCTGCAGCGACGCGTAACGCACTTTGTATAGTGTCGTGCGTCGCTGCAGCGACTCGCGAACACTGTTTACGGCGAAGGCTCTATGACTAACTGAATCGGACTGTACTGGATTGAGTTAGGTATCGTTCTGTCCGTAATATTCTAAGCTTTCTGCAGAGGTCTGTCTCTAAGCACTATTCATTTTAGTTCCGAAAATATTGTAGCAGACAGCTGACTGAGCTGACGTGCGTGTATTTGTAAACAGCTAGGTTACCCTCGGACCGATGACTGATGTGTTTTATTACGTTTATCATTGTTTTAGTGTTAAAATCAAAAGTAGTGATATACGTGGTGCATTATAAGAAGATTTAAGTGGTTTTGAAGTGCTGGTTGATGATCCTGAAGAAGTAGGTAGTGATATTGATGTAAATTATCAGCCAGATTCCTAGCTATGGTTGGGCTATGCATTCTTAGCTAAACGCTATGTACTGAAATCTGTTTTTTGCCCATAACTTTTTTATTTGCAAATCTACTTCCTTATATTATTATAGATTTGTAATCCTCATAAAATTTAGAACAAAGTGGCTATTTTCAAATATTTATAGGCCTATAATTTATACAATTTCATTGAGCGCAAACTTATTTTTTTTTGAAAATTTTCGAAATTATACATTTTTTTACCTAAAAAAATTTTTTTTTTTTTAATCTTCCTTATGTTTTATATATAATATTGAAGCCCAAGATTTTCCAAACAAAATGGTATATAGAACAGTATAATTAACATTGTTTTTAAGCTTCTCAGATCAGTTTTAATAAAACCTTGCAAATGAGCAAAAAATAGGCTGACATTAAGGCCAAAACACGTGACACTCGGAGGGTTAATTGACTTAACATTTTGTAATTTGTACCAGCTTCTAAACTTTCTGAATTCCTCTTCTTATCTTTGCCTTTATTTCTCTGGTGGAAGGTGATTATTTACCTCCGAAGCTGTTTTCATCAAATCATCAGTAATACTTTGAGCAATTTCCAACACGCACTATGCTAAAAACATAGCAATACAAACTAACGCCTGTTTCTGAATACATTTAGATTGTGCAACAATGAAAACAGCTGATATAAATCATTAAAATAAACCTAACAAAACACTAGTGCAGGTAGTGGATGAATTGAGAACTAATCTTGAACAAGGGAAAGTAAATTTAGAGGGTGGGAAGATCAAAATCAGCTGATCGTTTTTCCCTCGGTCTAAATTAAAGCTTGGGAAACAACTACTTTCTTTGATATCAGTTGATATTGAAAATCGTTTCTTTCGGTAAGGAGTGATGAAAATTTAATTTTCATTACTCTACACACGAAAGTACACTTTCTAAACGTAAAATGAGATAAGAAAATAGGTAATTCCCGCTACTGCACGGAAAAGTTACATAACGTTAACTTTCCGTGCGTATGTACTGCACGGAAAGTAACCGCTATGGGATTTTGCGGTGCAGTCAGATCAGCTGATTGTATTGTTGTTGAAAACACATTCCTCGCTTATATATTGACATTGTCAGTTAGGTTATGTTTGTTGAGATAGATTCTTTGAACTATGTGTACTAATATGGATAATATTCCTGAAACTTTGATGAACAGAGCGGTAAGTGTAACAAACGAATTATTGCCTGATGTGTCGCGTTTAAGATACGAAAATGAATACGATAAGCTTTGTACTTGGTGTCAAAAAGAAAACATTAAACCTAGCCAGGTTAATGATGACATACTTCTAGTCTATATGTCAGAACTGTCGAAAACTATGAAACCTAGCACCTTGTGGAGCAAGTATTCAATGGTTAAAAATGTCTTAAAAGTAAAAAAAAATCTTGGAAATTTAAAATTTCCAAAAACAGTTGCATTTTTAAAGAAAAAGTCTGTTGGTTTCAAACCTAAAAAAGCGAATGTTTTTACATCTGATCAAATTTCTCAGTTCATGATCAACGCTCCCGACAAAGAATGGTTGTTAAGTAAAGTAATTTTGACGTTTGGCATTTTTGGAGCCCTTAGGCGAGATGATCTATTACGCCTTAGCATAAATGACGTAAAAGATTATGGCAGTTTCATTAAGGTTACATTGAGAGATGGTAAAACACATGCTAGCAGAAGTTTCATCATTACAGACGATGAATGTACGTATCAACCCTGCCAGCTAGTACGTAAATATTTGTCTTTACGCCCATCAAAAATGACGAGCCCTAGACTTTTTGTTGGCTTCAGGCAAGGCAAGTGCGTAGCACAACATGTCGGGAGTCATACGATTTCGGATGTTCCCAAAAAGGTCGCCCAGTACCTTAAGCTAGAACAGCCTGAATCCTACACAGGTCATGCTATTCGACGCACATCCGCGTCAATGCTGGTGGAAGGGGGAGCGGATTTACTCACACTCAAGAGGCACGGAGGCTGGAAAAGTGCAACCGTTGCTGAAGGTTACATTGAGGAGTCCAAAAATAGAAAAATTGATGTGTCTAAAAAACTTTTTTCAAAACCAAGTACTTCAATCTCAAATCAAAACAATTCCTCTTTGAATTTACTTCCAATCAGAGACATTACTAATTCAATTTCAAATTACAACAATTCCTCTTTGGATTCACTGCCACTCAATAACATTTCTAACAATGATGAAGAGGTGAATCTGGTTTCAAAACAATATTTTACAATCGACGATGTAATTTCATCAGAAGAAGATACTGTGCAAAATCGCAATTTCATTCAAGAAAATAATAAAGTTGATGGAACACACTCGGAAGTCAATGTTGCAGAAATGAGAAAAAACCTAAAGCTACCACAAAAAATGTTAAACATAAGTGAAAATCAAAACTGCGACTTTAACATACATTTTCATTTTCATTAATAAAGATTTATCAGCGTGTTGATCCTATGTAATCATCAAAGGTCTCTTTCTTTATTTGTTTATTCATCAGCTTGTTCTGTAGTTAATTTAATAAAGATACTTTTTTTTACCCAAAATAGTCTGTTTTTCCTCAAACTATTGGCCATGCAATTATTATTAAGTGCACGGAAAAAACTCATAACGTTAAGTTTCCGTGCTTATGTCGAGGTACATACACACGGAAAGTTAGCGTTATGAGTTTTTTCCGTGCACTTATTAATAATTCAGAGTTGAGTTTTTTTTCATTAGTTCGGTTTTTTCTCTTAATACTAAGTTAAATAAACGAAAATTTTCATGTTTTTATAAGTTTTCGGTATCGTAATGAAAAATAATGTTCAATACTCGCCTCGAAAGTGTCATTGCGGGGCACGATGGCGTTTCCAGCGCTCGGCTTCGCCTCGCGCGAAAATGCCATCTCTCCCCGCAATGAGTCACTTTCCAGTCTAGTAATGAAAACTACTATTACCATACTCCAGCTGATTTTACCGGTCCCTTTCTGAACTTTTCTGTAAAAAACTACATTCTGGTCTATAAAGAGGGCATACCAAGCTGCTTACTGTGTACTGTGGAGAAGATTCATTTACATTTGGCAGGTATGTTATAGAATTAAAGAAAAAAGAATTTGTTTCAATTTTCAATCTCACTCTTAACAGACAATTATTTTGTAACTTCAATATTTTCTACAATTTCAATACTATTCCACTGATCAACTGTCGTTTGTTACAATTTAACCTGTAATCTATATGATGTGCACATTTACCAATCTTGTTCACCATTGAACTATCGTCCTTTGTGTTTACAATACAAGTAAAGAGATAAAGACAGTCGAATGTAATGATTGTTAGCAGAAATCACCAAGGACACAGGAAGTGAGGGGAACTACAGCGAGGAGGACTATATGGACAGACGAGGTGGGGGTGCAGGTCGGCCCCATCACCAACAGCAACACTATGATAGGGGACCTCGCGGGCAATACGGGGCTCGTCAACAAGCTCCTACACACCCCCGCAACCCACAGCGACGAGATGATAGGTAAGCAAGTTTGGTAATAAACTGATGGTCATTACTGTACAAAACAAGCATCGTTACTCTTACGTTGGCTGTAAGAGAGAGGCTGGGAGATGACCAACCAATGGCAAAACGGTATCGTCAAGTAGGGTTAGGTTAGTCGAAGGAATAGGGAAGAAAAAGGCAATGAATGTGGTGTGCAGTATTAGGCTATATTGCACTGTTGTGGTATTTCAATGCCAATTTTTGTGAATTCATCTTGTCAAACTCCAGTTGCCATTCATTAATGGAAAAAAAAACTGAATACTCTAAAGAAAATAATTGAATCATGTATGCTTGAGCAGCTTCAACACTTTTTTACTGTGAATAACTTTTTATATAAAGATCAATACGGCTTTAGAGCCAACTGTTCAACCACAATGGCTGTAGAAGAATTAATTAACCAAGTTTTGCAAGGGTTTGAAGACAAGTTGGTGACAGGTACATGCCTAATTGATTTGACCAAGGCCTTCGACACAATCTCCCATCCCATTCTTCTTGATAAACTATATTACTATGGTGTTAGGAACCGTGAACTAAACATCATTCAATCCTACCTGGAAAACCGTAAACAGCAGGTCGTGATAGGAGATGATTATTATGATATTTTAGAATTGAATGCTGGTGTTCCGCAGGGGTCCATTTTAGGACCTTTCCTGTTTTTGATTTTTATTAACGACTTTAGTTTTAATATCCCTACTCAATCAATACTTTATGCTGATGATACTACCCTGTTCTGTAAAGATGATAATGTTGTAACAGTTGAGTACGATCTTAATCATGCCCTAAACTGTGCTAAATTCTGGTATAAAATCAATAATTTGGCTATCAATGAGGAAAAAACAGAATACATCTACTTTTCTCTAAAAAAAGATCAACCCACTGATGCTTATAAAACAGTCAAACTCTTAGGCATCCATCTTGACAACAGACTAAGCTGGGATAACCACATTACACAACTTTGTAAAAGATTGGCTAGAATAACCTGTCTCTTGAGAAAACATGGATCATGTGTGAGTTTTAACACTTTGATAATGACTTACTACGGTTTGTTTCACTCACAGCTGCTTTATGGTTTGCGTCTCTGGGGTGGTTCACACTTAGCTCAGAAAGCAGTTGTTTGGCAAAAGAAAGCTCTTAGAGCCATGCTAGGATTGCAAGATCATGAATCCTGTAGGGATCACTTTTCCAATTTAAATTTGCAAACACTGCCATCTATGTACATTCTTTGTAATTTAATTCATATAAAAAACAACCCCTTAAAATTGTCTAGCTATTCTCATCCATACAACACGAGGCACAAAAACAACCTAGTCACACCTCAAATCAGACTTTCAAAAAATGTAAATAGCCATTTTTACATCCAACATATTTTCTTCAACAAGCTACCAACTTGTTTTCGTGAACTACCTTTAAACCAATTTAGAAGAAAAATTACTGAGTTTTTAAAATCAAAAGCATTCTACACGCAGGAAGAATTTTTAAATAGTGACATATCATGTTTAGATTCTAAATAGGATATTGTATATATTGAAATTTATAATTGATGTATGATCTATTTTTAAGTACTGTTGTAACAATGCCTATTACAAAATGTTATGTTTAATGGCTGCAATAAATCTTATTGAATCTTATTGAACCATGAAACAGTTATTAGAATTACCCATGTTATTTAAACATTGTTTGTGCAGTATTTCAGAGAGAGAAATTGTAATGAAAGAAGTTTAATTAATGAAGTTAATATTAAGTATACCTCCACTATACATAAATCCCTAAGAATTTTTATTCAACTTGATGTACCATTAGTAACATCATATGGACATCTCAGAGTTGACTTGCTTGTGACCCGAATAGAAGTAGATGGTGTATGTTTACTTCTTATGGCTTCTTTTCTGCTTACCCTCAACAGTGTGGTGTTCTCATCAGTCTTTTGGACATTTTTTTTAAACTTTCTTGTTTGTTTTGGTTAGCATTACGTAGGGAACCTGCAAGAGGTATGATTTTGAATATTTTAAAATACAGAGGATTGACGAAAGGGAATTATTAGTACCTCAACTTATAGCATTATGATACGTATAATGTTGTGTTTCAGAGATCCCTATTACACAGACAGGAGACATCAAGAGAGAGGAGGGTACAGGGGGACTGGTGGTGGAGGGTCTGGGGGGACCAGAGGGGGTCCATCACAGCACACACAGCAGCCCCCCAGAGATAAGAGGGTACGATGGTTCATGGCACTATTTGATTACGACCCAACGACCATGTCACCAAACCCTGACGCATGTGACGAAGAATTACCCTTCTCCGAAGGAGACTCAATAAAGGTGCAGTAGTCTATGTAGTTTTTTTGGCTATCAGTTTTATTTGCTCAAGTTTACGGTGCTTCTATAGATGTATTTAAAACCTCCTTTCTGATATAAATAAATAAATAAATAAGGTCTTTATTTCCAAGCTTTCATTAAAGTACAAACTCTGTTTTTCATGACAACTTTGGTCCAATTAAGTAAATAAAACAATACAATAGTCTATTCATAAAATCAAAAATAAAATTATCTATACAGTTTAGGTAAACATTTCCTTTACACATTTCTTAAACCTATTACAACTGTACTCTTTTAAAGTGGGTGGCAAAGCATTGTACTTTTTTGGGCCAAAGAAACTAAACCCCTTCTTCCCCAGTGTCATATCATGGGAAAGAACATAAAAAATGGATTGGAATCTTTGCACAATTAATTTGGTCGATCTTAAATTTTAGAGGATAAAAGAATGCTGTGAAATAAAATCAAATGTTCACTGTTGATAGTGCTAACAATTACTCCAATAAAACCCCAATTTGGAAAAGAATTTGGAATACAAAATTAGAAATACTGTAACATACTGTAGCTTTACCTGGACCCAAGATGAAGCCTTAGTTGAGATCTAATTATCCATCTTGGGGTTGCTAGCTTCGTCAAAGAGATCTGCTTTCTCAAACATACACATACCCTCAACAGTGTGGTGTTCTCATCAGTCTTTTGGACATTTTTTTTAAACTTTCTTGTTTGTTTTGGTTAGCATTACGTAGGTCATATATGTTAGGTCAGCTTTTTCGGCGGCGCCACCCGCCGGTCTCCCCGGTCTCCCTGCGGCTAATAGGCACCATTTGCCTCCATGCCCCTCTACACGTCCGACACCGGCGGCTCCACTAGCTGCGCCACATGTTGCTCACGGCTAATAGGGGCCTAAGTGCTAATAGTAACGTGCAAATTGTGGATGCAGTCACTCAACGTCATGTTTGACACTAGACATAATATTTTGTGTTGTGGTAAATTCCGCTGTTTGAGTGAGCTACGAATGTGTCGCGCGACTAGTGTCCAGGTTCCAAACGCCGGCGCACCGGCAGGTCACCGGCGTCACCACCGGCGGCTCCACTAGCTGCGCCACATGTTGCTCACGTCTAATAGGGGCCTTACATCTCATCTCATACAATGACCCTCGCTGACTTACTTGTCCTTCTGGGGATCGACACTTCCGGCCTTCTCATACCAGATTAGCAAATACATAATTTAAATAATATGAACTCTATATTGTAATAAATTATTGATTTGTTTCTTTGTGAATAGAGCACATGGTTAAAAAAAATAACAATAATAAATCTATATAAATAAAAATTTAGTTTTGTGTGTACACTGTGCAGAATCAAGACTATTTTTACATCTCATGGGCGAAGAAAGCTAAAACAAGTCTTATCTCAATTTCTGTTTGTCTGAACAGCATAAAGACTGCACGACAATTAAATACTGACAATAATTAAATGATAGTAGTGTCCACACTACCGCGGGATATCATTAACATTTTGCTGCAATCATGGGATACGATTACTATGTTTTTACGACCGCGGAAGACAATTACAATGTCTACAGGACCGCAGCAGATACAATAATGATGTCTACACGGCTGCGAGGGATTATCAGAATTTTGCCGCGATCGCACAAGACGATGATAATGTATACACAGCCACTGGAAACAGTCAGAATTTTTTCATGATTGCGTAAGACGATGATGATATCTACAGAACCACGAGGGATGATCAGAATATTGCCGCGATCACAGAAGACGATGATAATGTCCACACGACCGCGGGAAACAGTCAGAATTATGCCGCGATCGCGGAAGACGATGATGATCTCCACACGACTGCGGGATATGATTTACATTTTGCCGCAATAGCGGGAGACGATTACTATGTCTTCACGACTGCGGGAGACAATTACCATTTTTCTGCAATGGCGGGAAACGATTACTATGTCTACAAGACTACGGGAGACGATATAATGATCTTTACGCCCCGTGGAGGTCTGATCAGAATTTTACCGCAATCGGGCAAGACGATGATAATGTCCACATATTTATGTTCATACTGTCATGGCAGACGATAAATTATGTCTATACGACCGCAGAAATAGTCAGGAATTTACGGTGATCGCTGCTAAACTCAGCAAGATCTGCGACAAAAACGACCCCGGGGTATAATTAAAATTTTTCCGCTTTCGCTGGAGACGATTACAATGTCTTCGATCGCATCCAAATACAACCACAATTTTTTTTCCAGTTTTTTGGTGCCCCTTTAAAAAAGCCAATTGCTTCACGCCCTAGGCACATGCCTACGGTGCCTATTTGGTAAATCGTCCCTGAGATTTCTTTGTACAAAGAAATAGACATAGTCAACATGAATGCAAACATTTTAAAAATTATAAAATAAAATACAAGGTTTACAAAATAGTAAGTTAAGTAAAATATGACAGGTCTATAAAATGTAGATAATGTGGATCTGCCAAGCCCCTCTCTCAAGCAATTTTATACAGATTACCAAAAAAAAAGTGTTGGCAAATCCACATTATAATTCAATATTTATATTTATTTTGAGAAATCCATGGATGCCATAGAAATGGTTGTTTATCAACTAAATGTATAAATTTATTATTGTCACAATTCTAAGCCTGATGGGAAGAGGTCTGCAATCTGCAGTGATCCACAGGACCCGCTTCACAAATGGTGCAAATAACTTGTTTCTGTAAAATAAGGATTTCATTTGAATAAGACAAATGCCCCCACAGTGTTAGTCCATACAATACATGTGAGTGAAAAAAGCCAAGTATGCCGTCCTTACAAAAATTGAACTAAAAGATGTTAGAGATAGAATTTTTAGAAATAAAATAAAAAAGTGGGTAGTTTTGTCAGAGAAAGAAGCACCAAAGCAGCCAGGAACCAAATGGGCAGAAGAGAGGAAAAGAAGACATGGAGAAAGGATGAAAGAAGTATGGAAGAAACAATGTCAGAATGCTTTGCGTGATCGGTCTGGGTCCATTCGCGATAAGCTAAGCTATATAGCATGTATGGTGGCTGTAATGGTGAGGTGGTATTTAACTATTTTTACCAGTGTGAGATGTAGCCCTTAATTTTATTTCAGGACTGTGCCTCAAAGATATATAAAGATTCTATTTCATTGTAAAATCATTGGCCATGAAATATATAGGCCTGATAAGAAAATAGATAGCCATGCGACATTTATTTGCAAGGCATTTGGTTTCCCATTAAACTATTAGAAACTGTTATAGAGGTTTTGTCAGCGTATCTCCAAAAATGTAAACTTGATATGCTAACAAACTTTTATTCTGAATTAAATAATGTTTCAACTTACCACATGATCCCGTTCTGTACAATGGGTACACTGCTAGTACTACAATAAACGAGTGATTAATCAACAGGTTATTGGAGAGAAGGATGCAGACGGCTTCTACTGGGGCGAGTGTAAGGGGAGAAGAGGATATGTGCCCCACAATATGGTTGTTGAAGTCCAGGTTAGTCTAAAAAGCTGTAATCTAAGGACTTGATTCATTATACCGGATGTTTCACTAGCCTTATTGACCTGAATTTCATCTTTGTTCACCATTGCTCCAAGAGATTGCTTAAATAGACAGGCACTACAATTTCTGATTTTTAATGTCTTAAAATGGTTTGAATGTATTTTAGTTTGAAAAAAGAATCAAAGAATTTTGAATAGTGTTTAAAAATATTTTTACCTATGGCGGTTTTTTTTTAACTAGCCATTTCAGTTCAGTTCATTGAATTGAAGAATTGAAAAGATTCACTTAACAGCATTGTTGTGCGACAAATCTTTCCCTACACTGGAAAATATTATAAGTGCTCAGTCGCAACCGTTAACCTACAATGGCTGGGTAAAATTCCAGGGTCTACGATAAGGGAACCACTAGGCCAAAAGCCGGGTCTAACTGGTACAGGGCTGGCTCATACACGGTCACTGTGAACAAGTAAAAACCAGTCACCAAACAATCGTAGAATAATCACCATCAGGCCTACACAGATTCTCCACTCTCCTAGGAGGTCGTTGCTGACTACGCAACTTGGTCTTCGTCATAACTATCCAATGGTTAGGCCCAGAGTACCTAAAAAATGTGAGCGACCACTTACCAATAAAAACCACAACGCCCATTATCAACAGGCTGGCCACTAAAATAAAAATCAAATACCATACACAACTCTAATGCCGAAGCTAACAATCAAACATTAGTTAACTCAATAAAATTCCATAATATAACCATATTTATTTATTTTATCTTCACAGTGTTGAGAAATACATTATTGTTTTTACTTTATGTATAGCGTGTCAACTACATGTATATTTTATTTTCTAATCTTATTGGCTTGAATCTATTCAACACATGTACTCTGTTTTATTGAATAAGAATGATTTGATTTGATTTGATTGAAAATCAAAGTCTAATTGAAAATTAGCTATGTCTTGCAAGGGCTTTTCATTTTATATTCATTGGTGCATAAAAGGTGGAAAAAGTAATCAACTCTTTAAAAACAGAAATTCTGTCGGTCACAATGATGTCCCTCTTAAAGTTATAAAGCTTGCCAAAAAATGCCTGAGTCACATTTAAAGTCATTTAATAAATTCATCTTTTTGTATAGGATTTTTTCCAAATCAATTTAAAAAATCCAAAAAACCAGATCAGGTGTTGGATACATAACTCTCTCTTCGGCCATAATTATGTTTGCGTCCATTTAGTTCAGTTGTCTGTAGGCATTTATCAGGGACAGTTTGCTGACAGTTCGTAGGCTCCTCTGTTTTTTTTTTTTTTTAACTGATAATTTTGTGATAATTAATGCATATGAAATGGAAATGTAAAATGCTTAGTGTTTCTGATAAACTTCAGATTAAAAAGGTGCTAATGGATTTGGAAATGCAACAATATTGATGTTAACACATTAGCTGCCAGTCACCGATCGGGTCGGCGTACCTCATCTTGGTAGAAACATCGGCCGACTCGATCGGGTCGGCAGCGGGATTTTACATGACTTAAGTAAATTGATCCGTGACTTTTATCAGTGGTTGTGGGGGACTTTTTTAATAGTTCTAATCTGAGAAAACAATACTAATAATGTTATAGAATGTTAATTTTAGTCACAACATTTTTTTTATTTTACTTATACATTGACTACCAATAGGCTATATTTTGCCGACCGATCAGGTCGGCACATTTTTTTTTTACTTTAACATCATTGTTAGTGCTGAAATATGAATAAAACTTGAATCTAACTGTAATAAACTTGTTAGGAATGTAATAAAGATTAAACCGTATATTGAAAAGATAGCTTTTAATTTCGCGATACGTTGTATACTTATGCCAAAACTATATATTTGAAATTAAAGAAATTATGTAATTTTTGTTTAAATGACAGTTAACATTTACATTTCAAATAACATTTCAAGTCACGTACATGGGAGAAAACAAAGCACTAAATGTGAAAAATACAATTGTACAGAATAACTACCAGAGTTCACAAGGATCTTGCCTATTTATGTAAGTTCTTGAAACAATCTTTACAAAGAAATGGTTCCCCAGGACACGATTCACAAAATGTAGTGATCTTCTTGAGGTTCTTTGTTAATTTTCGGTCTCCAGTTCGTGAAGCTCTTGCATAGCACACTTTACAATTCTTCCGGGCTCTCCTTTTGTTCTTACCCTCGCCTACAAATATCACCGTTTCAGGCAAGTGGTGATGTCCAACATGTTTCACTAGCTCGATTTGTCCATCTTGCAACCCTAGTAGTGCGTACACAATCTTTTCCCTGAAGGTCGTAATGGAGTAGAGATGCTTATTCTTACTCTGAGAGTTGACCCCAGCTGCATCCTTGTAGGCGAGCCACGCATTGAGGACCGCTGTACCCAGTAGGAACTCTTCTGCGACCTTATGGTACCATCACATAGATTTTCTAATGGCTGTGCTGTACGACGACATCTGGTCACTGACATCAATCTCCATCTTCGCCTTGTTGTACTCGATGATGACAAGAGGTTTGATAATGGGTTCGCCCTGCCTGGTTTTTTCCCTGTATCAACATAGTCAGGACGATGTTTGGTTGACATCATTCCCACTTCCCTCTTATCAAACCATTTTGTGTAAACGATACCACTTGGGTATTCAAGACATCTCATTTCACCCTTCTTCATGTGGTCATTGGAATGAATGGTTTTTTATGAGGGAACCAGGTCCTGTTGCTGATAACACTTCCAACAAGGTGAGTAATTGCTAGAAGCATGTGGGCAAGATCAACAGAGGTGTAAAAATTATCAACATACAGTGTATGCCCTTGGTCCATATAATCTCTCATGAGGTCCATTACAACTGATGCGGCTAATGTCAGGCTATCTTCAGTTCCTGTCCCAGCGCCCATGTAAACTTTCATCTTGTACGTGTAGCCAGCAGTGTCGCATATTTTAAATACATTAATGCCGTACTTATGGGTTTTATTTGGAAGGTATTGGCAAAATAGAAGTCTTCCTCTGAAAGGGATTATACTCTCGTTGATAACCACATCTTCGCCAGGAGTTTTGTTAGTCTTGAAGGAGTTGTTCAGGATTTTGATCAGAGGAGAAATTTTACCTAGTCGGCCATCTCGCTCCATGTTCAAATTGTCGTTAAAATGCCAGAATCTCAAAAGCAATTGGAAACGGTTTCTGCTCATTACCTTACCAGCAACAACATTCTTATATACAATAAGTTTTTCGACCAATAGTCTGTCAGCTGTGGCATTGGCGCTAGACCCATCCATAATAAAAGGCTGGGAAATATTTTCATCTCATTTGGATAGGTAGGCCGCTATTTACGGAGTCTGCTACTACGATTCAATCGCAGTGTACAATTTGGGTCAAATTCACTAGAAGGAGCCTCGATTGCTCTTACTATACAATACAATACAATACAATACAATATTCTTTATTGTTAATTCATCAAGAATTACAATAGTGTCAATACAATAGTGAATTGTACATGTTAATTTTCATCAAATTCTTTTATTGAGTAGAAGGGTCTAGCGATTAGCCACTTCTTCAACTTCTGGTGTAGCTTGTTGCCAGTCAGGTCTCTCAGGTAGTCAGGTAGATGGTTCCTCAGCTTGCAGCCGGTGTAGGAAGGTTTTTTCTCCCAAAGAGTTGTTCGGTGAACTGGTAGTGCAAATTTGGAGCCATGACGGGTGTTGTAGTGGTGCAGGTCTCGGTTTCTTGGGGGGTTTATTTCATTCACATACTTTATAGATTCAAGTATGTAGAGAGACACCACTGTGAGGATTCCTAGGTTTGCGAATGCTAGTCTGCAAGTCTGTGGTGGGACAAGGTTGGCGAGGGCTCTTATGGCTTTCTTTTGAAGGACAAGAATTCGATTCATATTTTTTGTTGAAGTTCCTCCCCACACTGTCAAGCCATATCTAAGATGCGACTCTACCAGTGCGAAGTAAGCTGTTTTGGCCACGGAGAGTCCGCCTATGTAGTTTATTCTTCTGACGACATATATTCCAGTACTGATTTTTTTGCTTAAGTGGTTGATGTGCTCTTTCCATGTTAGTTTGTTATCAAGGATAACACCGAGAAATTTTGTGTGGTTTTCTATTGTTACATCCTCTAATTGAGGGACTATTTTCTTACTGAAATTCAGAGTTGTAGTTTTTGTGGGGTTTATTGCTAAGTCATTGTTCTTTGAGTAGAGGATAGCTTTATTTAGGATCGATTTTGAATTAAGGTAAAGGTTTTGGGCTGTGTTGTTCTTGATCAAAATGGTTGTGTCATCTGCATGATTGCAACAGCATTTTCACTCTCAATTTGTTTGGGGAAGTCATTAGTCAATAAGATGAATAGAATCGGGCCTAATACAGAGCCTTGTGGAACTCCTCTCGTCAGCTTGCTTTTTGAAGATTTGAAACTTTCTGTGACTTCATTTGATGAGTTTTTCAGTTCCACGACTGGTGAACGTCCCGTTAGGTAGCTTTTGAACCATTCTAGCGCAGAGTTTCTTATACCGAGTCTTTCGAGTTTCTTGCATATCAGGTCGTGGCCCAGGCAGTCAAAAGCCTTACTGTAATCAAGGAAGATGGCGGAAATGTATTATTCGTTTTCTATCTGGTCTAGGACGTACTCAATTTAAAGCTGTTATAGCTGAGGATGTAGATTTATTCTTCCGAAAGCCATGTTGGCTGTCAGTTAAGAGTTTGTTATGATTAAGATGTGCCATTAATCTAGCCAGAGCAATTTTTTCTATGATTTTTAGAGAAACTGGAGATGAGAGAGATGGGCCTGTAGTTTTGAGCATTTTCAGTTGGTCCTTTTTTGTGTTTGGGGTATATTTTACTGACTTTTATGGCGGATGGGAATTTGCCTTCTTTAAATGATTTATTTATAAGATAAACCAGAGGAGAGATGAGTTCTTGAGAGCAGTGCTTTATCATCTTAGAGGAAAACTCATCTATTCCACTTGATGTTTTGGCTTTTAGGGAGTTTATTATCGTTTTAACTTCTTTATAGGATGTTGAAGTTAGGGTAAGGTGTATTGGGCAGACTGGTTCCTCTCCATTCAGCACTGTTTCAGGGTCTATAACGATTGCTCTGTTTTGGTCAAGGGTATCTTCTGCTATATTTGAGAAGAATGTGTTGAAGTGTTCGGCCATTTCTTTTGTGTCGTTTGTGAGTTTGCCATTTATTTCTAATTCTGTAAGGGTTTTCTCTTCACATTTTCCTTTCCTTTCCTTGTTTATAACTTGCCATAGTGCTTTTGGTTTGTTGTCAGATTGTTCTATGAAGCTAGCTGTTGAGGACATTTTTAGGTTTCTTAGTTTCATGTCGTATATCCTTTTTCTATTAATCATTTCTAATTTGTCTTCATTTCTGTTCGTTAACTCAAACTTTTGCAGAGCTTTCAAAAAGTTCTCTTTAAGGTATTTTGCTTCAGGATCGTAGTACTTCATATGTTTTTTGTTTGTACTAATTTTAGTTTTCTTTAATGGGCATGTATAATCCAGTGCTGTTTGAAGAATATTATGAAATTTGTTGTAGGAGGTTTCAAGATTCGGTGAAGAGTAAACATGTTCCCAATTTTGTAGATGGAGGTGAGCCTTTAGATTGTTTAGGTTTGTGTTGTTTAGGCTTCTTTTCATTACAAATCTTTGGGAAGTGTTTGGGAAGTCTTGGTGTGTTTTCAGCAGGCACAGCTGCGCAGTGTGGTCAGATAGACCAGTATGCACAACTTGTCCAGTAATATACGCATATGGTATGTTTGAGCATATACAGTCTATTGAAGTGGCTGTGTCATGGGTTATTCTGGTGGCCTCTAGAGGAAATCTCCAGATGTTTTGTGTGGTTAACTCTTCTTCCAGCATGGTGTTTTTGGAATCTTGGGTGAGCCTGTCGATATTTATGTCACCGATTAGTATGAGGTTTTTCTTGTGTACTTCTTGTAGTTCTAGCGTGTCTGATAGGAGGTCAAGGGCAATTCTTGCATTTTCGATTGGTGGTCTATAGATTCCCAGAATGTAGATATCCTTTTTCTTTGTTGTCTGCATGCGAATCATTGCTGCTTCGAAAATTAACTCCTGGCATGTGTTTGATATGTTAATAGCTGTTACTGTATCAGCAAGGGATTCCTTGGAATATATTGCAACACCTCGCAAGTTTATGTTCTTCTCTACTAAAGTGGGTAATTAAAGAGTAGCCGGGAATTTTTGTAGCTTCTAGCTCTGTTTTTTTCAGTCCGTGTTCAGTCAAGACTAGAATGCTTGGTTTTGTGTCATTGAGAATATGGTGTAGTCTGTTCATCTTTGTAGCAAGTCCTCTAATATTTTGGTGCATTATTGCTACACAAGAATTATTTGGAGATTTGCAGATTTTTCTTTTGCTTTTTTCAGGCTGTTTGTTTCTAAAAAAGGGGTTATAGTATGGGACACTGTAGAGTGATTGGATTGTTGACTTGAATTGGGTTCCTGCAGCTGCTCATGTTTCTGTTCTCCTTGAGAAGAGAGGCAGTCCATCTCGGTCATGTTTAGTCGCTTGGTGTGTGACAGAATATTCTTTTTATATAGGTCTATATTTTTCCAAAAGAAGTCTTCAATGGTCTCTCCCGGCTTAAGAAGCTTGGCGGTGATCGGGGGTTTCCCTGTGTTCTTTGGTTTAGTTGATTTGTTTGGGGGAGATATAGTGCCCTTGAAAGTAGAGCAAACTCCTTTTGGGATTTTGATGGCCTTGGGTTCTTTAATATTTTGATTTTGTGTTTGTTGTGGTTGACTTTGGTGTTCTGGTGCTTCTTTCCTCAACTTGCTTTTTGCTATTTGCAAGGAAACACTGAAATGGGTTTTCTTAGTAGTTGCCAATTTGTTTTTATTATATGAAACTCGCCTTGGTGTGTTAATTGGCTTGCAAGGAGTCTCCTTTTTCTCAGTTATTAGGTGCTGGGAATCTTCTACTGTTATTTTATCTTCTAATTTCTTCATTTTTGACTCCATATTATTCTGTTTTTCTTTTAGGGCCTTTAGATCAAGTAGAATTAGTGTTTCTGTGTTTGATGCTTCTGGCTTTTTGTTGTCTGAAACTGTGGATTTGTTTGTGAGGTCCTTCGCCTCTGTAGTGGTTGTCTGTGTGCTTGTCTCTCTGAATGATTTTGTAGATTCTTCTCCGGTGTTTATTCTGCTGCATGTATTTTTTTGCCTAAGGCATTTAATTTCATTCTCCATGTTCTTTATTTTTGTGATGAAGCTATTAAAAGTTTCCTCCCTGTCTTTGTCATAATCTTCAAATGTTTTTGTGAGAGTGTTTCTTAGGCTTACTTCCTTTTCCAATTGGTGTTCTAGTTCAGTTATTGTTTCGATTAGGTTGTTGTTTCTAATTAGAATAGTATTTTTCTCGTCTTCTAGTTGTTCAATTTGAGCGTGGTAGTTCATGATGTCGATGGTTTGTATGTTTGTTAGTTTCTGGGCCAGACTCGAGTTTTGTTGAGTCAGGTTGAGTACTTCTTCTCTTAGTTTGCTATTTTGTGCTAGAAGTGCGTTTCCAACTTCTGCTGCAAGTGTTAGAGAAGTTTCTAAATCGGGATCTTCTGAGTTTTCTAGTTCTAGTATTTTGTTTTCTACCTCACCCATTTTGTTACCCTGACTTTCAGAGGATATTTGATTTGGGGGTGTGGGAGTTTGGTCTTCTTTCAGTTGTAACGCTGGCTTTCCAGAGGTGAGGGAAAGATCACTACAATTGTTACACCTCCATAGGGAAATGTCTTCTTTAGAAAGGTTTTTTAATTGTTTTTCTGTGATATTGACACACCCACTATGAAACCAGCAGTTGCAGGGACCAGTACATTTTATACTGGAATATTTTACACCGATGTTGCATTCACCACACGGATATTTTGAAACTTTTGTTTTGTTCTTCGACATAGTTCAGGTGTAAAATTGTATCAGTTTTGAAAAGTTTGGCTGGTTCTTTATGTCAGGGGTCTTGAAGTTCAAGTGTAAAATTATATCAGTTTTGAAAATTTTGGCTGGTTCTTTATGTCAGGAATCTTGAGGTTCAGGTTAAAAATTATATCAGTTTTTAAAAGTTTGGCTGGTTCTTTATGTCAGGGGTCTTGAAGTTCAGGTGTAAAATTGTATATCATGCAGTATATCATCACTGCCTAGATTATCACCCATATTGAACTAACATAATACAACGAACCAAACTTAGACAGAAAACACAACACGAACAACAGCTCCAGGTAGGCCTAGACTCAGACATACCGACATAAAGGCGCGAAACTGATGGCGGGAACATTACAGATCAGCGAAAAAATTGACCAAGAGCCTTTGCGTGGGAACAGCTGACGCGCTGCCAACCTCTAAACGAAATATACGCCGGTATAAACGTGCAACCGATCGGGCCGGCAGCGATTTTTTTCAATGAATATTCGTTGAAAAATATCGCTGCCAACCCGATCAGTCACAGATTTTCAAACATTTATTTTAACAGTTATAAAGTATATCTTGTTGTATTAGTGTAATATAAACAAAAATAAAGTAGAAATATCGAAATATAAATAACAGTAAAAGTTGTTATTACGCCGAAAATTTTAAAATAGGCCTCTGGCAGCTAACGTATTAGAAAGAAATTTGAAGCTATCTCTAGATTTTTGTGTAATTAACAATTAAGATAGGAGTTTACATAAAAAACCATGAAAACAGCAAACATCTGGGGAAAAAATGGATGCTATCAATCAAAGTTAAAATATTGAATCTGATTTCTTCTGTCAATGACCTACTACTATACAAAAAAACAGTTATCCCAACATCCCCAATTCCTGATTGTTTCGGGTAATCAACTCTACATAACATATTGAAAAATTTTAAGCATTTCTATTGGTTCCCAGTTCCCATCCAAGGCCTTCTAGTCCCATGATTTTGTAATATCATTGACTAGAGCTGGGCAGTAAGTGAAAAATGTTATCCTGTTATATCTTATAATTAGACAAGTATATGGTATTCTTTTCTTGTATAATGTATACCACAGTATTTATTTCGTTCTATGACATTGTATATGTATATTAACAGCAAGGGTTTGAGGGTGGCAACGTGGCCAGAGAGGGGGGGAGCAGATCCAGAGATCGCTGGGGCGATATCTACGCCAACATGCCAGTTAAGAAGATGATTGCCCTCTACGACTACGATCCTCAGGAGCTCTCGCCCAATGTGGATGCCGAGGTGAGTTGCGTTCTATGATAATTAAAAAGTTAGCGAAACATTATTTTCAAAACTACAATACAGTAGACTCCCTCTTATCAGGACACTTTTAACCGGACAATTTGTATCAGCAAGTTGGTTTAACTGGACTAGATCGGCAGGAAGGGGGCAGTACTGAAACTACTGTTCTCGTGGAAAATATTTGAGACCAGTGATCACGTGTGTAAATACAATGATCTCCTAAATTTAAGTTGAATATCTCAGTAAACAGTCTGTTTTAACGAGTTTTTGGGGACGTCCGTTTAACCGGAAAACCCGTTATCCAGACTGGCCTCAGTCCTGAGGAGTCCGGATAAGAGGGAGTCGACTGTAGTGCCAAATTTCACTTTTAACTGTGCAGAGGGTGTCAACTTGATCCTACAAACAACCTCCCACTGGAGGTTGTAACTATTACGATTTCCAGGTGTGTACTGGAATCAACAGTTTAAAGTTTTGGGAGCCTGGATTTTAATACAGCTTCTTTGTCTTTTTTCATGTAATAAGCTGCTTGGTTTTGCTTTGGTTGAACACTAGTTCGTTACCAAAACAGCATTCGATGGCAAGGTTGAGGAAGATAAATAATATTTTTTTTACTAGTTCAAGCTCTTCAATATTTTTGTTGGATGATATTGAGACAGTGTCATCTGCATACATAATTGCCTTGCTGAAAATTTCTGTGTGCCCAGGAAGGTTGAACGTAAACAGTAATGATGACGGGTCCCAGGACCGAGCCTTGAGTTACACCTCTACATAGGGTGATCTGACATGGTTACAAGTTCCATTGATTTTCTATCTTACTTCAAGGGGTTGTTCCCGTTCCCGACCCGTCATATAACTCGCAAACCACACTAAAGCCAAGTTTCAAAATCCAAGGGATTCTAGTTTGCTGCTGTGTTACAAACAATGCAGGTTCCTAGTTCTATTGAGTCAAGTGAAATCACTTGCTCCCACATTTGTTTTGCCGGGGGAATGCAATGTTCCCCATGGTGTCCGAAAGTTTACACTCTTTCCCTATAAAAATAGATTCAGTAAAATGGGTGGACATCACCAATTCAAGGACAATCACAACACTGAACTTATTATCCCCCTCCACCACTTGTTAGGAACAAGATTAATAATTCAGAGAGCTCGCTAATGTGGCATCATTTACATCATTAGTGAGATACTATTGTAAGCGGGGCTAAATGTCATGCTGCTATCCTAGATTTTTAGCTAGAGACACACACTAGTTTATTTAACTGTTCGGTCAAGCAAAGTAAGATTTTTGCAGAAAAGAAATTATCAACAGATTTTTAGCTTCAATATGTTGTTGATTATACTTAAATAGAAATTCTTTTATTGATTACATCAACATTTTTATTTTCTCCATACTAAAATGGCATCCAACCATGAGATGCAATCCAAGTGTCAGAGGAGGGTCTAGTGTTGTGTTCATTATACTGCAGGTGGAGTTGTCTTTCCAAACCGGGAACATCATCTACGTCTACGGGGAAATGGATGATGATGGTTTCTATATGGGAGAGTTGGACGGAGTGCGAGGGCTGGTCCCTTCTAACTTCCTGACAGAGGCGCCACCAGACTTTACCAATGGAGCAGGGCCAGGCCGAGGTCCAGCCGGTGGCTCCAGAGGAGGGGGCAGCAGGCCTGCACCCTCCGACAGGGGTCACGGCCCTGGAGCTAGGGGCCCTCCACCTCCGCCAAGAGAAGGCTTACCTCCTAGAATAGATCCACGGGATCGAAGGAAAGGTATGTATATGTTATACAAAAGCTCTCCTATCACGTTGAAGGCAAGAACACTGTTACCCTTATGTTATAATTGTACTAAATGTTTTTTTTTTATGTTTGCCTGGCTCACATTTAGTAGGAATGTAAATGTTTGTGTAACTCTTGGAGAAAATGTGAGCAGGGTGGTGTTGAAAATAACGAATGTTTCCCATTGTCTGTTTCATAAACAAAGAATAAGTTTTTTCTTCAAAATTACAGTTACTGAGTATAGTAAAATTTACTATTTGAATGTTGCTTTCGATCAGAGTACAAAAGTACACACATTTCTTCACATACCGTGTCCTTACTCACTTTATTTACTGTATCTTTATTCATAAAATTAAGTACAGATGTTTATGAACAATATATTGAAGATTAATGAAGGCCCCCTCTATCCTACAAGTAAGCAGAAAGATTCATTAACATCATGTAGCAACCATCCCGGAGAAATTGTATGATTATTTCTGTTTTGAAAGATCATTTGAGGGATTTCCTTCATACCCTAGTACTTACATTTGTAAACTATGACCTTTAAATGTTAATCATTTGACCTACTCATAATATAAACTTGCATGAGCTAATTATTGTAACAATGTGTAATGGACAATAATTGTTCTTAAAAAGCATGCAACAACTGGTGATCTATATTTAAATTCTGGTAGTTTTTTTTAATTGGTAATTTAAAATAAATACGTATGAGAGATGTATACTATTACTCCATAAGTTTTTACTGAATTTCCCTTATGGAGAAGAAGACATTACAGTTTTTGGTAATGTTTAACATAGTAGACATGAGTTAAAAACCATTCATTTTGCGGCTTCCTAAAGGCATGCATATGCATATATTATATTTTTTAATTGTTGTTTTACATGTTTGTAAGCTTTGAATATGCAATATTTTTTTTAATTAGGACGAATATATTGAAATGTTTGGCTATGAGTTTGTAAACCATAAAATTTTGCCACCTTTTTCACTTATAATCTGGGAACTTTTTATCTACAAGGTTTGCTCGTAAATAAAGGTCTCCATCGAGCCCCCAACGCAGCCAAGCAAGTTAGATCAAACCTCAGACCAACGTCGTGTTCCTCACACCATCCACTACTATTCTAGGCAGTCCCCACCCATGTGGTATGATTAGCCTTGTCGCTGTCATATAGCCCAGTCAAAAAAAATAGTCAGGGATTGGTCACCTTCTTACAGACACCTAATCACAGAACGCAATTTATACTAGGCAAGAGTGGGACTTTTATTTCACAGAATTTGTAGATATTATGACTAGAGTGAGGAACATAACCTTTGTCTTTAAGATTTTTACCTAGCTTGCTTGGCTGCAATGGGGTTTTGATGGAGACCTCACTTTAGGTCAACTCTCGTACATTTGGATATTATTTGTTGAATATTAGTCAATAATTTTTTTGTCAATAATGTGCTTTTAGGTTTGAATAATTTTTAATCTAAAACACATACCTTATTAGCTAAATCTTCTTTAATTAGTGGTTTGTATTTCAAGATATTAATTAATATCAGTAAATTATCATATCAAAACTACTATTACGGTATACAAAATCAAAACCATACTTTTTTAACACAATCTCACAGTTAGTAGTGGATGAATTGTATCAAAATATGAAACAAAGTTTGTGTACTGAATTCTAAGAACTCTATACAAAATTTAGTTCACATCAAAACAGACTGTTGGGTAGGGAAGTTTGACTCAAATTTGTCATATGTGCTATTTTGGTAAATCATGAACAAGAACACTACTATATATCTGTAGAGTAAGTTTTTAATGAATCATCCAATAAATTGTCTCTATATTTCTTAAGATATTAACTCTAAACTAATCAGCTCATTGTTACTCGAGACCCATTGATATTGGCCACTTTTTGCCTTTCCACTAATCGTGGACACTAATCGTCACTAACGGGTTCCCCGTTATCTGGAATACTATCTGATATTTATCTAAATCACATTGAAAACAACTTCATTTTCTCCGAATCTAATAAATACAGAAACAGGATCACCCTTTACAACCGTTATGTTGACGACACCATTATGTTGTTTAATGGTAATACTCGACAACTAAACTTATTATTGAACTACCTAAACAACATCGCGCCCAAACTACAGTTCACAATAGAAACAGAAGTCAATAATAAGATCAATTTTCTAGATATGACTATTGAGAAGGATAATAGTAAACTAAACTTCAGTATTTATAGAAAACCCACGACTTCAAGCCAAACAATACACGCCACTTCATACCATCCTATTTCTCAAAAACTTGCCGCCTACAATAGCCTAGTTTAGAGGCTACTCAAAATTTCCGCTTTCACCTGACAACTACAACAAAGAACTGAACATAATTAAACATATTGCTACCTCCAATGGATACAAACCAAGCATCATAGATAAAATAGTAACGAAATTAAAGAACAAACCAAATGAACCCGTATCAGATGAACCCGAGAAGAAATACATTTGTATAGAATACAGCCACATAGCTCACAATGGGCTCAACAAAGTTTTAAAGAATCATGGGCTTCAATTAAACTTCAGGACCACAAATAAGACAATAAAATCTCTGTCAAATAAAGTTACCGATGAAAATAAGCTTGAAAAATCTGGGGTCTACAAACTAAAATGCATGGATTGTCCTGATTTTTATATTGGACAAACTGGCAGGACCTTCACCCAACGGCACAAAGAACATCGCCCCGACCCCAGAGCAGACAAACAAAAATCCACTTTTGCCCAACATTTATTGGATAATAATCACACCGTGGATGTAATTGACAATAGCCTGGAAATCCTTCACATTTGTAACAAAGGTAACAAATTAGACTCTCTAGAACAATTCGAAATCTATAAAAGTTTCCAAGACATCCGTAATAAAAACCATATTTTAAATGACCAGCTAAACTTCAAATAAATCTCATTCAATTTTTAACGCCATAATAGCTCACAACAATAGACAGGAACAGTTTGACCTTTGCAGTATGACTGATAACGGAGAAGGGGTCGGGGTTACGTAATTCCAGCCAGTCTGCCTCCGTACTGCGACCGGTAAATAGTAGGCCTACTAAGTGTTAAATGTTTCGTACAATGTATCGTGTTTTATGTATTTATTTAAATGTTTTTTGACGAGTCTACAATGGACGAAACGTTCTTGAAGGACCACTTGACAATGCCTATGTATAGGCGAAACATGTAGTGGGTTTGACCATTCATTTATGAACTGTGGACGTGAAGGTATGTACCTTAAATTATAGTCTTTCCACTAAGAATAAGAATAAGAAATATTTATTTCCATTGATCTTTATAAAAGAAATAGGACACGTCATTGTTATACGTAGTTACAAGGTGATTCAGTGTTTACAGTACAAAATATCTAAATTTAAATAGCCACTTACATGAAAATAAAAGCTTTATTTCAACTTACTCTTCAAAATGTAATATTTATTTCACAACTTAAAAAATCTTCAATTTTGTAAAAGGGATTTTTAACAATCCAGTCATGCAGTTTATTTTTAAAAATACTGTAAGAAACTAATTTTGCTTCTTCAGGCAGCTTATTAAAAAACATTATACAATTTAATTTATGTGAATGTTTGGTTTTTGCCAATCTGTGCTGCAATATACTCGTATCTATTTTATCCCTACCTCTTGTATAGTGATTGTGTACGTCTTTTCGGAAAGAGAATTGATCTAAGTTTGACTTTGTATATATTAGAATTTGGAATATATAAAGATTTACCATGGTTGGTATCCTGAAATTAATGAAAAGAGGTTTACAATGTGTATCTGAGCATTCTCCAGCAATGCTTCGAACCGCCTTTTTCTGGAGTAAAAGGATGTCATTAACATGTGGAGAGTGGCCCCACAAAATAAGACCATATAGTATGTGTGATTGAAAGAGTCCAAAATACGCCAATCTTAAATATTCTTGACTAACAAAATCCTTAAGTTTCCACAGCAAGCACCTCACTCTTGAAATTTTGTTACAAACAAATTTTATGTGTGATGACCAATTTAATTTTGAATCCAAATTAAATCCTAAAAGTTTAACTGATTAAAATTTTACCTCTGTTTTAAGACTGATTGTTATATATTGTGATTTAACTGAATTACAAGATAGTCTGTTTGCAGAAAACCAATCATATGCTCTATGTTCAGCCTCTTGACTAATTAAGCGCAGGGTTGTTAAATTAGAATGGTTAGCGAGTAAAGTTGTATCATATAACAGATTGTGTATTTATATTTATAGGAAGATCATTAATGTAGACGTTAAAGAAAAATGGCCCTAGTACAGAGCCCTGAGGAACACCGGTTTCAACTTTTTCAGTTTTAGAACATTTATTTTTAATTGATACCAATTGAAGTCTATTACATAAATACGAAGAAATTAGAAGCATGGCATCATTAGTGATGCCATAAAAACGTAGTTTGTTAGTTAGGATATCAAAAGGAACCGTGTCAAAAGCTTTACTTAAATTTGATAAGCTTAAGTTAAGCTTAAGCTTAAGTTTGATTAGCTTAACTTCTTTTGTTATTTTATCTTAAAATTTATATTAGTAACTGCAAAATAATAACTTAACTACAATATATAACTTATCTGGAAAACAGGTGAATTAAATAATGAATTTTGTATTCAATATTTTTAAATGTGTGTCCATCTAAAAATCCTTTCAGTCTGTGGTTTTGCAAAAGGGGGCAGAGGGGTTACGTTTTTACGTCAAAGAGGAACTCTCTAATGAACTAGTCCTTATGAAAAACTACCTGTAAAGTTAATGTTATTGGATATGATAGAAAGTGGGCTCAGCTGTCGTTGATTGGGCCTGGCTAAAGAAACAACTGACTTTAGTAAATAACAAAGCTACCCAAGGCATATATAACTCCATCCTTCATTATATTTTGGTTAAAATGCACGTTCAGTAGTGTCCCCTACTTAATGAGTAATAATAAAATAATATTGTTCTGC